CGTCCTGCCTTCGCGGTGTCCAGGGCGCGACTGAATCGGTCTGATCCTTTGGCATTATAATACCTATTATCACACCATTTTCTATTTTATTTATTGACTAGGGTTTGCATGGGTGTTATATGTTGTTTGGGTTAGTGGATTTGAAGCCTATCGGCTACGCGAAGGTTATTAAGACTGCCTGTAACCTGTTCACCGGTTCCAGATACATAATTCTTTATAAACATGGATCAAGGTAAACCTCACAGTATACTGAGTGACTTGCACCTCACAGTGTATATACCCTTATCTTCCCCATGTAGATTTTTTCAATATTAATTTTCTCTTTATTTGCCACACAAAATATATTTTCATATTAACGTGAACACCTCACTGCACTTTTAACAGTAACAAAACGCATGTGTTATGATGGAAAGTCAGTTTAACATCTTCATTATGTACCTCATACCCATGGTGTGGGCGGTAGTCACAAGATTACAGAGGTACATAATGGCTCCAGGGACTGGGCCACAGTTTTGATAGCTGAACAAGTTACGGTGGTAATGAACTATTTACATGTTTATATCTGATTACAATCGTATGAGTTATTTATGTAGACAATTAGATCACACACACACACACACACACACACACACACACACATACACACACCAAATGGTAACTAACACACACACACACACACACACACAAAACACACACACACACATACACACACACATGCACAATACCAGGCAAGTGTCTATCGACATGTGCCTAGGACAAATGGTAAACTAACACACGACAACACACACAGCACACACACCACATACACACACACACACAGGATTATCTGCTAATTAGCAGAGTATGTAAGTCATGGTTTAGAAGTGACCCAGTAGCGACCAGCTGAAGGGTGACAGGAGCTATGAATCGACCTGCAACCACAACTAGGTGAGTCAGCTAGTGAGACACCACACCAGGCCAGAACTGAGTCTCGACCCCTGCAACCACAATTATAATGGTGAGTACGCGCACACACAAGTGGTAATGCTTTATTTACAGTCGGAAGTCAGGGTTTGTAATGTATCACTGTCGATAAAATACTTTGACATTTCTTGAATATTTCTTAGTGAGTAGTCTCAGAATTCATTAATTTCGCGTTTCAGTACATAATGACGTAAGGCGTGACAGTTGTCCATCTGGCAGTTTACATTTCGTTTGGTCTACATCTGGTGGTGGTGATTTAACCTCCAAGGAGGTAAGCCGGGAAGCAAAATGAAATTTAAATGCACGGTAAAAACTTACCTAAAAAAATTATTTTGCATCGTCACACCCTCTATAGAATTATTTTCTGAATCCAATGCTAGTTTATATATTATTACTTTTATGGCGGATATTATATTATTATTATTATTATTATTATTATTTGTTCATATCACCCTCATTCAGGTAGATCGTAGTTTGTCTCCGACATTCTGTTAAATTATTATAACATCCATGGGGATCGTCAAACCCACAGGGGTCATACAGCACCTGGGGGAATGGAAGACATCAACTCGATCTAGGGAATTGGAGCACAGGTCCGGATCCTTAGAATAGATCAAGAGCCTCTCACTAATATCCAGGATCCTACCATTATATTGTTCTTCCATCTATTGAAACCGATGAAAGGCTCTCGATCCACTTCCTTGGATCAAGCCTGAATGACTCCCACTCTCCAGGTATTGAATGTGATAATGGTATTATAATACCGACAAGTTGATAAGTAAGACATATTGTGCAACAGCTAGGTATCTCTCTTACGAAACATTTCGCCTACACTGTAGGCTTCTTCAGTCGAGTACAGAAGAGGCAGCAGAAGCAGTAGAGATGTAAAGACCATGTAATCAGTCATGACATCACGCTTGAAGACGTAGTTTTGAGGTGGTCAGTCCCTCAGCCTGGAGACCTGTAAAACCTCGAGGGAACTGAGAGGTAATCAGAATTTTATCAAAGGGGAGGATAGCTCCACTTCACTGAACAACCATGTGTTATGATCTAGGTAAATAGCCATCCATTATGATGCAGCTTAACTCAGCCCGTCCTCTTAACCACAAACATCATGGCACTCTCTTAAATAGTGTCAAATGGGTAGCTATTGCCGGAGCCTTGAAACTCTTGGAATATGATTATTTTATGTGAGCCGCGCGCAGTGGCAGACTTTTTTGTCGCCTGTTATCTAATACTTACAGCTTTTCCGTTGTAACCTAATCTTACCTAGTTTAACTTAATTAACCCAGCCTAAGCTTACCTAAGGCTGCATATCTATTACCAACAGTCAAGAATACTTTAATCCCTAAAATGATGATTAACCTGTGTATATACACTGATCTCGTGTATGTAGTATATCCTGTATTAAAACTTTGCAGTCATCTCTGTTAGTATAATATTGTTCGCATCATATACATTTCAGATTGCAAAGAAGTTAATGGACTGAAAGTTGTTAAGGTCAAAATGTTTTCCATAATTTTTTTTGTTCATTTGTTTCTTGTTCGTTTTGTTGTTGTGTTGTTGTTCTTCTTCTTCTTCATATTATTATTATTATTATTATTATTATTATTATTATTATTATTATAAAAATAAGCGCTATACCCATATATATGATACAGAGATAATTAGATCCTCGTCACGCTCACTGTGCTATTTTTTTTTTCATTTTTGTAACGCACAGGTCGTCTCCCACCGAGATAGAATGACCCAAAAAAGAAGACACACTCACCATTATTCACTCTGTCACGGTCTTGCTAGAGGCACGACGACATTACAGCTCAGATGCCCCTCCAATCTGCAATATCCCCCCTCCCTCCCTTCAGAGTGCATGTATTGTACTTCCCACCGCCAGAGCTCAAGTCAGATTACTCGGTTTGTTGTTGTTAAAGATTCGCCGGTATTCTCCCGGCCCGGGCCCTTCCAAGTGGTGACCCGGCACTGGCTCCCTGTCTAGGGAGTGTCTGAGACCTAAGTCTCCCATAGGAGGAGGCACAAGTACCCCCCCTCACCTTGTGAGCTACAAACTCGGGCTCTGGCACCAACCCTGCCCTAGAAGGGCAAGGCATGGTGTCGATCGTGCTAGCGTTGTGCTCTCCTGTGTGGAGTGTCGTGTGTTGGTGTTCATTTTCATTCATTCATGTTGATTCGCCGGTACTTCCGGCCCAGGTCTTCTCCAGATGGTAACCCGGCAGTGGCCCCCCGGGTGAAGGGTTTCCCTGAATCCCTTCATAAATGTTACCTTGCTCACACTCCAACAGCACGTCAAGTCATAAAAACCACTTGCCTCCACTCCCATCAGACACGCTGACACACACGCATGTTGCATGTCCAAGCCACCTCTACCCCATCCCTCCAAATTTCCTAGGGCCACCCCTTCCCTCCACTGCAGATATATACACCCTCCAAACCATCCTATTTTGCTGCACCCTCTCTAAATGTCCAAACCACCACGATAACCGCTCAGAATAATACTTTTAGTAGCCCTTTACCCCCTAATCTCCAAATTACGAATTCTCTGCATAATATTCACATCATACATTGCCCTCAGACACAATATCTTTATTGACTACGTTTCGCCCACACAGTGGGCTTTTTCAAGTCACAAACAGATCTACCTGGGGTGGAAGGGACGCGAGTATTTATAGTCAGGTTCAGAATGCTGAGGTCATAAGAACACTGTAGAAGGTCTGCTCACAAACTTATCCAATCTCATTTCCAAGCTACCCAAGATTTTAGACTCTATAACCCCACTCGGTACATCATCAGATGCAGCATTCTCCACCTGACCTCAGCATTCTGAACCTGACTATAAATACTCGCGTCCCTTCCACCCCAGGTAGATCTGTTTGTGACTTGAAAAAGCCCACTGTGTGGGCGAAACGTAGTCAATAAAGGATCACATTATACTGCATATGTGTTTATATTTCCATTGTGTCGGTATTTTATACCATTTATTTCCACAATATCTCCACTGCCTCCAACCTCCTCGATGCAACGTATAAAATACATACTTCACATCCATATAGGAGTTTTAATGCCACTGTATGGAGATACGTTTCCCCTTTTGCCTCCATCGATAAGATTTTTTGTCGTTTATAGCCGCATAGAGCCAATAAAACATTTAAATTACCGGGAACGCCTTGAAATCTTAAATATGTACTTACTGGAGCGAAGGAGAGAGAGATTCATGATAATATATACCTGGAGGGTGTTTGAGGGTTTTGTCCCAAATCTACATACTGCCATAACAACATAGTGGGGTGAGAGATATGGTAGGATGTGCAAGATAAACCCAGTGAAAAGCAGGGGCGCAGTGAGTACAAATGAACACTGTATCAACATCCGTGGATCCAGATTATTCAATATCTTACCAGAAGATATCAGAAATACTGCTGGGACAAGTGTAGAAGTCTTCAAGAGAAAATTGGACAAGTATCTTCATCAGGTGCCAGATCAACCAAGCTGTAATGAATATGTGGGGCTGCGGGCCACCAACAGCAACAGCCTGGTTGACAAGGCAAGCACTACACGAGCCTGGCCCATGGCCGAACTCCGGGAGTAGAAAACTCTTGAAACTCATCATAGGTATATCAAAGGTAAGAGGCGTTAACAGATGTCTCAACACATCAGCCATCTTTTACCCTCGTCAGTTCTGTCGTTCACCTTATCTTTTATATTAATAATCTTTTATTGATTCTTGGCGGAGATTTGAGACTCAGAAGAACCAGATGGAAATAAGTCACTCCGTCTGACTTTTTTGGGTTATCCTAGGTTCTCTACACATATGCTGCTATGTATGATAATTCTATGTAACTGTATTGTGTATACCTGAATAAATTTACTTACTTACTTATTTACTTACAGTGACGTGTTGTCGGAAACACAACTGTCGACAGAACCAGAGAGCTGTCATGAGAAAGAGAACTGTAAAAAAATGAGAACTATTGAATTAAATTGTATGGTAGTTGTAATTAATGAAACTAGAAATACTAGGAAGGATTTATTTTCAACAGTATGAGAATTTTGATATTTTCTAGTAAATAATTATGTCATTGTTGGCATGAAAAAGAGTTTGTTAAATGTTAACAGATAAATGAGATTATTATTATTATAATCATGGGAGCACTAAACCCGTAGGATTATACAGCGCATGTGGGGGGGATGGAAAGTATTCAGGCTCAATTCAGGGAACTGGAGCACAGAGTCAATTCCCTAGATCAAGAGCCCCTCACCAGCATCAAGGAACCTCCCTTGAGGGGAGATAAAGGAGAGACGGAGATCACTAGAAAGAGAACAAAAACATTAAGGTAATGTGGAACACCGCTGGGTAGAGAACTAGTAAAAGATAACAGAGGGAACTAGGGGCAGAAAACAGCTGAGAATAAAACAAAAACTGAGAGGGAGAGTGAGGCAGAATAACACTGCTGGGTAGACATACTCCTTTAATAACACTACAGTCCACATCGAGTCGTATACTCATGCTATAATCTTTGTGTAACACTATAAGTTGTATTTATAATATTTATGTGAGGCGGAAAGTAAGGGAGTGAATGGCTACAAGTGGACAAGGTTGTGTATAACACCAATGAGGCAGGTGAGGATCGGCGCCAGTGTCAGCGTGCTAGCACCGCTGACGGGCTTGTTGCCACCTACTGGCAGGGAAGCGTACTCCCGATAGTAGTTGTTATAGTACCAGTCTATGGCGTTCACATCTTTCGTATCGAAATCTGACTCCTGCGTGGTCGTCTGTTGAGTAATGTTAATATCCTGAGTGTCGTTGGGACTGTCCACTCCTTGTACCGTGACTGTGTGTGTATTAGGCTCCACCTGCCCTGGCTGGTATACACGCTCGATGGTGGGGAACCCGCCCCTCCCCATGCTCTTGCTAGGACTGATATAGGTGTTATTGGGAGGTACCCGGGGCACTGAGCCTGCTAGAGGCTCACCTGTCTTGTCCACTGGCAGCACCACACCTGGCCTCGACCTTGAGTGTGTTGGTGTGAGTGACGGGGCAGCGAGCGGTGGCTTCCCAATTTGATGCACTGAGAGGGACGATTCTTCCTTGTGCGTATGTCCGGGGGGTGTCTGAGTAACTGGGGGTCGGTGTCTAGGGTGTGTCTGAGTGACTGGAGGTCGGTGTCTAGGATGTGTCTGTGTGTCTGGAAGTCTCTGCTCGTTCACAGATTCACTGCTAATCGACGGCAAACTACCTGAAGAGTCACCGAGAAATGAGGTCTTCTTTTCGAGTGCGTCTGGTGGAAGATTTTTTAGTACAGTCACCCCTTCCCCTAATTGTGGCGAGAAGATATCGGTGGACAGGTTATGTCTGTTTGACTCACTGTGAGTAGTGGTAGTGACGGTGATGGACAGGGTGGCAGGCTGATTAGTGGTAGTGGAAGTGGTGAAAATGTCATTAAGAGTGGTAGTGGAAAGTGAAGGTTCTTCAGCAGTGGACGTGGACGAGATCACAGGTGATGAGAGAGTGACAGCCAGTGGTGTATTGTCATGTGCCGGGGAGATATTTTCATTTTCATCTTTAGTGCTGTGTTGTTGTTGCTCTCGCTGGACCTCCTCCTCGGCTGCATACAACAAGCTCAGTAAATCACTCATGGAGTGGCTGGGTTGGTCAGAGTCTTTCTGCGATTGTTGTGGGTTTTTGGGATGTGAGTCTCTGGGAGGCTGTGAGTCTCTGGGAGGTTGTGAGTCTCTGGGAGGTTGTGAATCTCTGGGAGATGATGGGTGCTTGGGAGATTGTGGCTCTCTGGGAGGTTGTGGTTCTCTGGGAGTTTGTGGGTCTCTGGGAAATGGTGGGTTTATGGGCGTGATAGAGTGCTCTTCTGATAACGTAGTAGTGGGCGGCCTTGGCAACGGCAGTAGCTGCAAGGTTGAAGTCGTCTGCACCGATGAAGGCGTTGTTGGTACATATTTCGACGTTATGCCTGGTATAGGAGGACGTGATGGTAAATAAGAATTCAAGGGCACAGAACGATCACTGGAATAATCGTCAACGTGCTCAGATTCCTGGTGTAGTCTTGAGTTATTTTTTTGTGTATTGAGGACCGAGGATTGGACGATTCCCGAGACTGAGGAGGATGACGAGAGAGTGAGAGAGTGTGAGGTTGTCTCAGTCTGCCCAGGAAGTGAAGGCTTTTCAGAAGTTGTGCCCTTCAATGACCCGGGCACAAGATCGCTGCCAGCCATCACCTGACTCTCTGAAGGAGTCATGTCTCCTGGTGTGGCCGTAACGATAGGTGTCACGTGGGCGGGTGCTGCAGTAACGATGGACGTGGTGTGGGCGGGTGCGGTAGTAGCGATGGAACTGTTGTAGGCAGGTGTAGAAGCAACGATGGGTGTGGTGCGAGCGGGTGTGCTTGTTGTTAGCAACTCGGAGAAACGGTCGCTACCAGCTGTAACCTGACTTTTTTCTGAAGGTGACCTAACTGCTGGTGTGGTGGGTGTGGGCGTGGAGCGGGCTGGTGCGTTTGTGGTCTGGCGAGGAGTGAAAGAACTTGCGCGATGGCCACCTGACATTTGTGGAGCTTCTACGATGGTGATGGGATGGTTAGGGTTGTGTGGCTGGTATGGAAGGAAGGGTTCGCCAGGCTGGTAAGGGGACACACCAGAGTCAGGATGGATGACCGCTGGGGGCGACCAGCGTGATACTGTTGCTCTCGTATCTCCTGCTACCTGCGCCAGAAAATTTGAAGGTGGAGGCGCTGTAGGTGTAAAATGTGTGGCAGCTGAAGGCAGCCGGCTGACAATGTTGGGTTGCTGAGGTATCTGGTGGTGTTGCTGGTTGATGGAAAGGCCGGGCAGGAAGGGGGTGCCGGAATTGGGTCCTGGCCCTGGGTGCATGAACGAGGGCAGCATTGGCTTTGCTTGGGGAATCCGGGGATCCTGTACTGACCCAGGGCGCGGCCTGATACCCCACACGTTAGTTGGGCGGGGCACAGGAACCACCACGCCAGGCACTCCCGGACGAAACCGCTCTTCCTTATTAACAGGGAATACAAAAGGGACCACGGGATCTCTGACGGGCAAGTGAGGGATCGGGAGAGTCTCTCCCGTAGCCTGGTTCCCTTGACTGAACTGGGGCGCCACCCCGACACTTGGATTCCTGGGGACACCGATGGATGGTGGCGGGGGAGGCTTCAGGTCCATGGGCTCTCTCACTGGGGGTGGGTGAGGGGAAAATAGAGGGTGTGTGCTGGTGGGGCCATCAATCCATATCGGTTGGCTGCTGTCAGGACCCTTCATAGGCTTATCATCACTGACTGATTCCGACTTAGACGCGGAGCCTGAATTTTGACGGCCGATGCCAATGAAAGGCAGATTTCCCCACTTGACGTCGAAGCCAACGTGGGGCATATTTAAGCCGCTGAGGGTCTCCAGGATGTTAGGAAGGGTGGGCAGCTTGAGGACTCCAAAGAGGCCGCTTTCTGTGCTGGTCTCATGTTTGTGGTCGTTGATCAGGGCGCTGATCCCTGACGACCCAGCGTATATAGTGGGCGTGTCTCCCGTCACTGTGTGTATGCTTGATGACGACGCGGTCTGTGCCTGGAACAGAATATACTAGGTCACACTCATGTTTTATTCTTACAACACCCTAAATTACATCCCAGACAGCATGTCTATCTTGCTATTAATGGACGGAGACACGAGTCTCCATCTCTCTCTCCACACTGAATACATCCCATCCCCACACATACACAGATTTACACAACATGTAGAGATGGCTGTCAGCGTGCTGTCACTCTCCTGTTAATTAATCATCATTATTGACAAGGACCACTGCTGAATTAGTAACATTTGAGATATGTTTTCGACTTTCAAGGTAATTAAACACTGTGAACAACGTTTTGTTCACATGAAGTGAACTTTCTACACATGAGAAAGTTCACCATATGTGAATGAAACGTCGTGTACTTCTATAATTGTTGTTTTTTCTGAGTGTTTTTATCACTACTTATCGGATGTTACAACAATTTCACATTGGCTCTTAATAAAATAACTAAAACATTGTGTAACGTAATTCACTCAAGCTAACTACACTTACATTCCAAAAGCATGACAAATGCTGCCAAATGTATATCAAATTCTGATCTAATTTGTTCGAGCGTCTGCCTTCTACACGTCTTTGAGAGGTAGAAGCTTGATTATATAGCAGGCATGTGTGAACGCCTAAGATTGGAGTGATAGAGGCGAGAAGTATTTATGATTCTACATGCTGTTGGAATTTCGAAGGTGAGAAGAGCAGTACATGTATTTGAAAGTCTGGTCGGGATGTTGCATTCAGGTAAGTTATATGATCCATGATATTTATGTACTTCTGGTAAGACAGTAAGAAAATGGATGATTTTTTTGAGGTTGGGGAGAGAAAGATATAATTGTGAGCAGTCTGTATTGGTTGATAACGGCACACGTATTAGAAATAATGTATTACATACTAAGATACATTCATCCACTCCACTTAAAATTCGTCTATGCTGGAATTGCTCTACCAGCCTTTTAAATATATAGACGCCCTAAACTAATGTTGGCTATTACCATCTCTACTGGTTTAATTACATTTTTCGTACCACATATAGAACTTAACGAATAACAAAAAATTCCGTATTTTAGGCTGACCTTGGACGTATGACAGAGGCGAGAGCCAGTATAGGTGATGAGTGAACGTCCCCAAAAAAAATTGTTGATCGTCGGCTTTCATGGTGGTAGCCCTCGGGTGGTGCTGATAAGGAAGAAACTCTGACCAAAAGGATTGTGTAGTCGAGGTAGGACGGTCCTGAGCTGCCTGGGGAGGCCCTTTATCAGTTGGTAGTACGTAGTAAGTGTTTCATCACGCCAGCATCCAGTGCTCCTCCTGTACCCCACCCCCCCCCCACAGCAGGAGGTAAGCAAGGTAAATAACACACACACACACACACACCACACATCCCTACACACACACGCACACACACACACACACACACAACTAACACACACACACACGCACACACATTCCAAACCAACCATCCACACCGATCCCTCTGTTCCACCCCCCGAACCACAGTTTACAGTAATTAGAACAGAAGTTTAAGGTTTGGTACACAAATGCAGATGGGATTAACGAATAACCATGAGGACTGGCAAGAAATAATTCAAAGAGTAGTCCCCGAGACATCATAGCAGTTACAGAAACCAAACTCATGGAGACATAACAGAAGCCAATCTTCCGCACAAGGATACCAGATCAGTATGAAAGATATAAGGGGTAGGGGGGGGTGGGGTTGCTCGCTCGTAAAAAAACAGATGGAAAACGAGAAAATGGAAGGAATAGATGAGACAGGAGAAAGAGACTACATATTGCATGTACACTTTCAGTCGGGGAACACAAAGTGGACATTGGGGCAATAGTGATGTATAATCCACCACAGAACTGCAGGAGGCCAAGATAGGGAATATGAAGAGAACAACAGAGTAATGGTGGGACACACTTGCTGAGGTGGCAAGAAGACTCACTCAGCAGATGCAAAGTTGCTGGTTATTGGGATTCCAACCACAGGGAGATTGACTGGGAAAACCGGAGCCACATTGGGGTCCCGAAACCTGGAGAGCCAGATGTTGGACGTGGTGCTGGAAAACCTCATGCCCAACATGTTAAGGACCGACCAGAGTGAGAGTGGAGGATGAACCAGCAAGATTGGACCTTGTGTTCACCCTGGGCAGCTCAGACATTGAGGATAACAAGTAAAGATTCCCCTAGGAGCTAGCGACCACGTGGTACAGTCATTGATACATATTAGAGCTTGCAAGGGGAGAAAGAACAGGAGTAGAATGGGAAAAGCCTGACTATAAAAGAGGGGACTACAATAGGGTTGAAGACCATCATGCGGGAGGTCCAGTGGGACAAGAACTGGCAGGTAATAAGCCCTAATGAAATATGGAATATGTAGCTACAAATGCAAGAGGCAGTGGAAAGGTTCATTCCCAAGGGCAACAGTAACACGGGAAACCAGAACAAGCCCCCTGGTTTACCCGACGGTGGAAAGGAGGCAAAAACAAAGTGCAATAAGAGAATGGAAAAAGTACAGAAGGCAGAGAAACACACAAAATAGGGAGATCAGTCCGCAGAGCCAGGAATGAGTACGCACAGGTAAGGAGGGAGGCCCAGCGACAGTATGAAAATGAAACATAGCATCGAGAATCAATACTGACCCGAAACTGATAGTATAGCCAGCATCAGGAGGAAGACAACCGACAAAGAACCAGGTGATGTCAGATTAGGACAGAAGGTGGAGAAACACCACAAGAAATGACAGGAGGTATGTGAGGAGCTTTTGAACAGAGATTTAAGGAAGTTTTACAGTATGAGACAGGAAGGGCTGTGGAAGACAGCACAGAAGGGAACATCAAGAGGGAATATACCAACAATTGTTGGATGACATACGACAACAGAGGAGAGGGTGAAGAAGCTCTTAAGTGACCCTTGACACCTCAAAGCGATGGGACCGGACAACACCTCCCCATGGGTCCTTAGAGAAGGAGCAGAGATGCTGTGTGTGCCCTCTAACCACAATCTTCAACACATCCCTTAAACGGGCAAACTACCTGAGAAATGGAAGACAGCTAATGTAGTTCCCCATATTTAAGAAAGAAACAGAAACGAGGGCACTAAACTACAGAACCTGTGTCTCTGAATTGTATTGTGTGCAAGTCAAGGAGAAGATTATCAGGAGGAGAGATGGTCGAACACCAGGAAAGGAACAAGCTTATAAATGAAAACCAGCATGGTTCCAATGGAAGGCAAATCTTGTATCACAAACCTCCTAGTTTTATGACAAGGTAACAGAATAAGACACGAGAGAGAGGGTTGGGTAGATTTGCTTTTTCCTGAGACTTGCAGGAAGGCCTTTGACACATGTTCCCCCACAAGAATAGTGCAGAAAGTCTGGAGGATCAGGCACACATAAAAAGGAAGGGCACTGCAATGGATAAGGGAATACCTGACAGGAGCAGCACGATCATGGTACGTGAAGAGGTATCACAGTGGCGCCTGTTACGAGCGGGGTCCCACAGGGGTCAGTTTAGACAGTGCTATTTTTGAATATATGTGAAAGACATGATGGAAGGAATATACTCTGAAGTGTCCTGTTCGCAGATGACGTGAAGTTGCTGAGAAGAATTAATCGGAACGAGGATGAGGCAGGACTGCAAAGAGACCTGGGAGGCTGGACATGTGGTCCAGTAACTGGCTCCTCGAATTCAATCCAGCAAATGCAAAGTCAATAAGATGGGGAGGGTCAAACACCGCAACAGAATAAAGCTAGGTGGGACAAAGACCTACAGAACTCACACAGGGAGAAAGACCTTGGGGTGACAAAACCCCGAGTAAATCACGCGGAAGCACACATCATCCAAACTAACCTCTTGCAGCATACGGCGCCTGGCAAACCGAAATAGCGTTCCGATACCTCAATAAGGAATCGTTCGAAGACACTGTACAACTGTGTATGTTAGGCCCATACTGGAGTATGCAGCACCATCTGGAACCCACACCTGGTCAAGCACGTCAAGAAGTTAGAGAAAGTACAAAGTATGCAACAAGGCAAGCCCATAGTCTCAAGGGAATGTCGAACGAGGAAAGGTTTAAGGAAAATCGGACTGCGACACGGAGGACAGAAGGTTCAGGGGAGACATGGAAACGACATACAAGATACTGCGGGGAATAGATACAGGGTGACAAGATAGGATGTTCCAGAGAGGGGAACACAGGAAAAAACAAGGGGTCCACAACTGGAAGCGAAGACTCAGACGAGTCACAGGGACGTAGGAAGTATTTCTCCAGTCAAGAGTTGTCAGGGCAAGTGGAATAGCCTAGCAAGTGAAGTAGTTGAGGCAGGAACCATACATAGTTTTTAAGAAGAGGTATGACAAAGCTCAGGAAGCAGAGAGAGAGAGGACCCAGTAGCGATCAGTGAAGAGGCGGGCCAGGAGCTGAGTCTCGACCCCTGCAACCACAATTAGGTGAGTACAATTAGGTGAGTAACACACACACACACACAACTAACACACACACACACACACACACACACACACACACACACACACGCACGCACGCACGCACACACACACACACACACACACACACACACAACACACACGCGCGCGCGCGGGTATGCAGCATGAGTTCGAGTCCTTGGCTAGTTGCAGTGTTATTACTGATCAATACCACTTGTTCGTGGGTACAATAATACTATATATATATATATATATATATATTATATATATATATATATATATATATATTTTATATATATATATATACATGCAAAACAACCACTCTGAAAGAAAAGAGAAATTCCAACCGCTTTCGTGACTACTCACATTATCAAGCAACTATTCACTTTGACAGTGAAATATGGATAAGTGGTTACAACCTTTTTAGATGCGACAGAAAAAACAGGCAACAAGGGGGGGTTGGCCTGTATGTCAAAGAGTCCCTTATCTGCACGGAGTTGCTGAACACCACAAATGAGGTAGTTGAAGTTCTATCAATAAAGATCGAGAACCAAAAC